CAGTGAAATCCCTAGATTCATTACTGCTATAAAAAAAAACAGTCAATATACTAACATGACGATTTTACTTTAAAGTGAATTATTACACAAAGATATTTTTTGTTTAATTTTTAATTACTTTGTATATAATTTATAGGAATCACTAATTTTTTGTTGCATGTGTAACCTAACTTAACATAGTTAATCATCACTGTATGGTTACCATGGCAACAACTTGCAGGATGAAAAGTAGAAGTAGAACAAGTGAAGTTGAAAAGTAGAACACTTAATGTAAAGTAGGTTTAATGATTTGTGGAACTTTGCTAATGCTTTAAAAAAAAGAAACAAAAAACTGTTATATTCTGAACTATGAACAAAATGTTGTTCTGCTCAAAAATGGTTTCCGAAATCTGCTCTACAATTTAACCCTGTTTGACCTAATGACCTGCATGTAACTCTGATAGTGGATACCATTAAATGGTTATACAATCTGTGATTCTTTTTTAGCTATATGTGTGTAGCTGATAGCATGGTGTCTCGGGTCAACAGCAGTAATCCTATTACTATAAGTTTATATGGTAAGTGGTTTGCAGGAGCTACAGTTTCTGATGTTTGTTTATTCACTATTTTGATAGTACAGACATTGTTATTAAACTTCTGAGGAACTATTAAGTCGCAAAGTGTGGTCACAGGTAAATGAGCACCCTCAATGTTCATTTCACTAAATTACTTTGTTTTTATATGAATGACCTACTCTACTCAATAAACTTTAAAGTGTTTTTCTTTCCGCATCACTTTAGCAAGTAGGAACATCTACTATTAATCTGAAATGAATTAAATTAAAACTTATTTCCAATAAAATAAAATTAAATTAAATTAAATGCTTTTCTTTGTAGACAATGAATGTGCTTTACATGCTGAGAAAGAAATGAGGTTTTTAACAGAATGCAGTCAAGTTGGTGAAGTGAGTGAGCAGAGTGGTGGCCTACCCGGCGTCATAGTGGTACCACATGATACTACAGTCATGACCATAAATATTGATAATACAATGTTTTATACACCGATTGAAGAGTACAGTTACACAGACGATGGTCACCTTGATGCTGATTACGAGTATAGTACACTTTGTAACTCAGACGATGGCAAACTTGTTTCATTTCAATTGGAGATCATTGACATAACGCAATTGTACCAGTTTGCCCGACTGACATCGGCTCCTTTGAACAGTGCTGTGTTGGATTCCATCCCGACAACCAGATCAATGGTTGGTAACCAAGATTCAATAGAAACTACTGTGAGTACAGAAAGCACTTTTACTAGGTTTACATCGGAAAGAAGTGTTGCACGTACAGGCATGCAAGGGGAAAGAAGCTCCATTCATCCAATCACTGAGCAACTAACTTTATCAGAGGTTCACAGCAGTGAAGAGTCTGGAATTGACGTTGAATCAATCGTCTCTGTCTCTGGACAATTGGTCACTGTTTTGCTGCAAAATGCTAGCCAGCACTTCACAACAGAAAGCATGGAAACAGCTATCAATAGAGATGTGAGTAAACACAATGTCAATAGTGGAACGATGGCATCAAATGCACCTGAGGTTAGTGACCTCCAAATACCTGTGAGTGTGATTGGTTCCCCTGAACATGTCATAGAAAACCCAACAAGTCAACCAGGAGCTAATTCGGACAACGAAGATGTCGACCGTGAACGAAAAAAACGGGATGACGACTCTTATCCACCTATACCAAGCTACGAATTCTTGCTCTCCGAGGAATTTTACAACATATATATTCCAGCAGAGTGCTCCTCAGAGAAAGTATCTTTGCGACTAGAATCAGGACTGAAAATCTACAAAGGGAACCTTTTGAAAATAAGGTTGAGTCGTCTCGACGACGGATCGCTTTATGATAATCAGTGTCAGTCGTGTATATCATTAGAATATCGTCAGTTTAAAACATCTTGTAATGTTAGTGAAAATGGTGATTGTTTATCGGGTTACTTCCAGTGGATGAACTCTTTGTCAAGGGTTAAAAATCATGGATGTTCCGGTGTTACTTGGTATAATGATGAATACCAAGTCTGCCATAATGGTGAGTTCATATTTTTTTGTTATTGTGATATGAAAAATCGTTTAGTCAAACTGGTCGTCAAATCATGAATATATAAATATAAGAGTAAAGCTGTAATTATGCAAAATGACAAATGGGTTAATGCGAGAAAATGGATTGAGATACAAATCAATGAAATTTTTGTTTATCTGTGGTTGAGTCTATTTTTTGTGAGAGTAACTTAAAAATAGTAAACCTAAAAAATCAACAGAAGATAAAAATTTAGTTGAAAACTGAATGTGGTAGGAAAAATAAAATTTAGCTGAAAATTTGAGAAAACAAAAAGAGTTAAAGAGTTTTCAACAACAACAAATTTTGCAAAACATCTGGAAAAATTCTCAAAAAGTAGTTAGAGAATTATTTACCCTACCAGATTAATGAATCAACTTTGACATACATCATGAGAGTCATATAAATATTGTCAACCTGTATCAATACCATATAAACAACCTTTCCAAACATGAATGGATTTAAATATATTGACATTGTTAGAATCTTATAGCTAAGAAATTACCTTGCTCAGATGTTGATATTTATGTCTATCAGTGAATTAAATCACTACTAAAGAGAAAATAGTAGATTGACATTTATTTTAGATGAGAACAATTCTACTAACACTAACTCTCATTCTTTTCTCTCTGATTATCCTTATCTTTTGGCTTTCTTTAATTCTCAAATACTTAATTTTTATACTTAATAAAATCCTAAGATTATAGTTTTTTTACTATTTATTATATTTTTGGTGATTTCCAATCTATTTTCACTTTACTATTTCTCTTTTGCTCCATTCTTTTCTTGTTCATATCAGTTCTACCCAACGCCTCTATTTCGTCGAGTTTGCAAAATGATATACTGCAGCATGAATACACCATTTTAGAATGTCAGATCAGTGGTCGTCCAGTACCAACTATACAATGGTTTGTCAATGGAATTGACCAAAATGTACAGCTGCCTC